AGTAATCCCTTCCTTTACCGTCACAAATATCAAATACTAGGAGATAAGGATCAACTGAGGATCAATTGCAACGGGAAAGATTTTTACATTCCAGTCACTATGCATAAAGTCGAAAATAAGCTTGAGGTTCACCATGTTAGTGCAATTCCTTCTATTTCCGAAGAGACAGATACAGAGTTAGCGGAGCTAGTTCCACTAAAAAAAAATGCGTGAATTGCGAGAATAAGTCAAACCATGAAAAAGAACTTGAAAAAGCATTATTCGCCAGTATTCAATCAGTTTCTGAAGTAATTGGGTACTATAACGATTTGTGTGATCGATATAAATTACAAATCTAAGGAACAGATAATTTAGAGGCAAGAGTACGACCACTTGCTCTAATCTTTTCTATATCTTTTTGGCTTCTCTTATGTAATTCCAAAACATCTTCAGTCTCTTGCGAGGTAACAGGTGGTGTAGTTTCTTTTTTTGCTTCTGAAATTCTGCCTATCTTTTCTGTCTCACAGAGTGAGGGTGTTACCGCATCTAGATCTTTATTAATAAGAGGCTGATCAGAAATGCGAGTAGACTTGGATTTTGATTTCCTCTTTTTTTTCTCTCCCACAACTACAGATATTGGAATATCGTTTCCTGGATTGGCCAAAGATGAATTCCAAGTGTTTGTACAAACCTCTTTCCCTTTCCATATCCGATAAAAACGGCTATTTGACATAGGATATTTGTCTCTAAGCATATCTAGAGGTTTGGATTTTGCATCTTTATATTGCATAATATAATCATAGTCTTCTGATGATAGCCTGACTGCATCAGATCGCATGGTCTTGATAATATCAAAAATATAAAAAATTATTCGTATTATCAGTAATATCGGTAATATCAATAATATCAATAATATAAAAAAAAAATTATCGGTAATATCAATAATATCAATAATACAAAAAAAATTATCGGTAATATCAATAATATCAATAATACAAAAAAAATTATCGGTAATATCAGTAATATCGGTAATAATTCTTTCATAATATCAGTAATATTGGTAATATTGGTAATATCGGTAATATCAATAATATCGATAATATTAGTAATATATCTATTTCTTAGCATTTATTTTTTGGAATATATGAGAAAAAACATATGGCCAATGTGCGTACATTGCGAGATACCAAAAGTATGGAATCCAAACAAATACAAGGGCAGGGGTATAGGCTTGGAAGTGTCCGCGAACAAGAACTCGAGGATGCATTACGTGTTAGTAGTAAGACCAATTCTGAGCTCATTGATGATTTCAAAAATCTCCAGGTGGTATATTCAAAGTTTAGTAAAAATATCAAACAGGAGAATGCTCAATTACAACGCAATCTGAAACAGGCTGATACAGATATTCAACAAATTCGCACCCATGCTCTACAACTTATATCTGAAATCAAGCGATTGAGGAAAGAAATATCTGTTCACAAATCGCAAAATAACCGCCAGCAGATTGCAATGAATGATTATGATATCAAGTTGGATGATATACAAAATGCTTTATCGGAAAAATCAAAAGAAGCAAAATCGCTCCAAACTAAGGTAAAGAAATTGGAGAAAATGAAAGATAAATTATCCTTAAAAGTTAGCGAGCTGGAGCATTTAAAATCAGATGCTATATCTCGGGTTTTACCATTGGGAGAAGCAATTAGTGGAGGTGGCGAGGGGTCGAGTCTCATTTCTTCTGCAATAGTGGAACCTTTAGATTTACTAAAGAAAAATATGCGTCGAGACACTAGTTCTGCTATAGCGAAATCTGATGTTATTTCTGCTGTTGATAAACCTAAGTTAGATTTTAGTAAGTTTTTACGAAAAAAAACAGAGATACCTGAATATGCTATAAAGATCAGTGAGGATAACCCAGGGACTTTGCCCCATAATATGCGGAGCATAGAGTCTCTGGTTCATATACCTCAGATAAAAAATGTTTCGGAAATAGAGCATGAACCACATCCACAGATTTCAATGGGAGGGATGGAAGCAATCCCCGCTATGGCAAGTACTATATTGTCACCAACTATTTCATATGTCTTACTTATCTTGTTAGCAGTCGTCATTATTTGGTTCATATTTATCCGACGCATATGGAATACTCAGAAAAAAAATGAGAACCCGCGGTATGAGTGGGTCAGGTAACCAGGTATTAGTATTGCTTCGCCTATTTGAATATGGGTATATTTATTGTACAGAAAAAAATAATTAATATGTATATATGATAATGATATGTGCCTTGGCACTAGCTCTGGTATAAAGATATATTTGGTAGCATTAATCGATAGCATAACCAGATAGCGTGTAGATAACATTTCCCGATTGCATTATTTTTTTATTAAATATTCTGTGCGGTATATATTCTTAAAGAATTTAGCATAGATATGATTGATCTATTTGGTGACGAAGAAGTATATGACGAGGAATATGAAGTTGAAGACTGTCATGTTCACAGGAATTATCCTATGTGTACACCATGTAAAAAGTGTGGTAAGTTAACTTTTTCTAAATATGATGTACGTATAATGCACGCTGGTAAGTATCGATCTCGAGATCATTATCAGCGAAAAAGGCTAGAGAAAATAGCAGAAAAATCAGAAGTGCTTAAAGAAAACTCATAGCGATATTGATATCATATCTATTCGTAGACCTGCAATCAAGAATCCTGTTACTACATCTAGCATACATATTGGTAGCATTAATCGATGACATAACCAGATAGTGTGTATATATCATGACCAGATAATATATATAATATGTCCCGATCGTATTATTTTTTTATTAAATATTCTATGCAGTATATAAAATGACAACAATGCAAGATCGCAAGAGCAAGCTAACTCAAGCTATTGATAAAATTATAACGCAAAATATTGAGGAAGCAGACTGTAATATTCATGCTACTAAAGCTATCAATAAACTCTTAATACAGGAGGTTGGGAAGGACTGGAAAACTTATATAGAAAAGCAAGATCGTTTCAAGAGAAGTGTCATCCTCCTCTTGTGAGAGGGTTGCGATCGTATCCGGAAGTAGAAGTGGATTATACGAATGCATATTATAGACTAGGTAGGTGAGTGGAACAAAGAGGTATAAATTACACGGAAAATTCAAAACTTTAAATAAAAATTCGTGTGATGGAATTATGGTGCAAAAGCGATAAATTTTTCGAATCGGTAGTACGCAAAAGTAATATATAGTAAGAATAAAATTTTCGAATCGGTAGTATGTAAAAGCACGATAAATTTTTCGATGTGGTAGGACGCAAAAGCATGATAAATTTTTTGAATCAGTAGTACGCAAAAGCAATAAATTTTTTGATATAGTAATACGTCAAAGTATGACCCAATTTTCTTTTGAATCAGTAGTACCCAAAAGTATCGACTATTCGAGAAAGCTTCCTAGAGATCCAAAACATAGCAAACATTAGCAAACAATTGGTGGGACGCAAAGGTAGAATTATATATAGGAAAAGAAAGAAAAAATTTTGCTTTTGCGTCCCACCAAATAGATGGAATTCGGCACTTTGTGCCTCAAACCTGGCATTCGAATTCAAGATACAAAGCCAGATCACGAATACTATTTCGGCACTTTGTGCCTCATCCTCGAATTCGAATGCAACATATAAAGCCAAAATACGGATTGCCAATTCGGCATTTCATGCCTCATCCTAGCATTGAAGTCAATAGCATCACCAAAAGTCCATCGTTATGGACGTCAATAACGATCACTGAAAGTGTACATAAAAGTAAATTGACATTAGTGCATTCAGAAACAGGCTCTAAAGCATTTCCAGAAAAAAATTGTCCTTGGATAAAAACGGCACAGATCAAGTTCCTGATATGCACCTAAATCTAACCAAAATCTAACCAAAAAATTCTTTTTCTGCATATCAGAAACCATCTCTAAAGCATCTTCCTGAAGTGATACTTATAGGTGACCGTCCACACATGTGGACGATGGACACGAATGTTACATGGCGGAGTCTGAAAACGCAGAAATCAGACGCCTTCTTAAAATATATACTCCGCTCATCAACCCGCAATCAATACTGGACACATATTTTTCTCATCCAAATGACAGCACAAACTCGAAGACGCAGACAACCACGAAATAGTCTAATTTATTAATAATTACATCATTGTGCATTTGCAAACCAGTATGCTTTGCATCCAGTTTGGGCATAGCCCTCACAATCAGCACTTCATGCCTAGCCTTGGGTGATGAAAGCAATCAAAGGGCCAAAGAAACTCGAAAACCACATCGAAAGGAAGCAAATATCAAGCCAATTAGGCACCAAAACGGGTACCCAAAAATGAGTAGGTATCAGTCTAGTCATAAGTATGTAACAATCTAGTCATAAGTATGTAACAGTCTAATGCAAGTAGGTTGCAATATATATATATTGCAACCTACTCCTTAAACGAATTTTGGACCAAATCTGGTCCAAAATTCCAATTGACAAAAATTATAAAAAAAAGAAATTTTCCTGCAGTCTCACCACAATCTTTCTTATTTCATAAATGATATTCAAAACCCCATACTTCTATTAAAAAATTTATTTGGGGGTTACATATAACAGATAAGAAAATAATGTGTACAGTCTACTCTCTTTACAACGAGCCTCTCTATAACGACCACTAAGTAAAATTTCTCTATAACGAACTTCCCTTTTGTCCTCGTTTCAATTTTTTATAATTAATTTCTCTCTATAATGACCAAAAGCAGAGAAATTACATATAGGGACAGAGGGTTCGTTATAGAGAGAGTGAACTGTAAAACTCTTGCAGATCACGTTTTTGATAGTAAAAATTTGCGATACAGTTATATAAGCATTATATATCCTTCACTAAAATTATTAGCTAGTATGTAAACACTACTAATAGAACTTGTTAGGCAGATCAAATTACATGATTTATGTCTAAGAACCATAGGTCTAGCATCAATAATTAAAATTTTCCATATCAAAAATTTTTTTTTAAAAAAAATACAAATGTTTCTTTACTTATAAAAAACCTTAAATATGATTCCAATATGTACTATTTTTTAAAAAATAAATTTTTCAGAATATATGTTAATTGAAAATGTAAAAATATTCGGGGTTTGTTAGTAGTATTTTAATAAATTGGGAGAACCAAGAAAAGGCAAAAATTGTAAAACAACAAGATATTCTGATAAATTTTGTGAAATGTGCATTTATCTTCATTTACAAAGTCTCTTTTGTACCTGGACATCTGGAAACGAAATAATTGATAATTTTATTCAAAAATGTCAAAAGCTTTCATCTTTTCCACATCATATTATAGAATGGATACCTTATGAGCAATTTAAAAATATAAAAAAGTTAACAGAAGGTGGATTCAGTTCAATTTATATTGCTGCATGGACAAGAGGAACTATTTGTGATTATGATGAAAATAAAAAAGAATTTAATTATTTTGAAGCTCAGAGTGTAGTATTAAAATCTTTAAATAATTCAAGTAAACCAGGAAAACCTTTCTTTGATGAGATAATTGATTTTATTCAAATTAGAAAGAATTAAACCAAACCATTTATTTTAAATTAATTGATTTTATTTATATAATTATAATTAATTACAGGCACTGAATTATTGTAAAATTAAATCAAATTTAATTACTTATTGTTATGGTATAACTAGATTCCCAGAAAATGGAAATTATGTGATGGTTTTAGGTTATGCACCAGAAGGAAATTTGAGAGATTATTTACAAAAAAATCATTCAAATTTAACATTACGAGGTAGAATTATTATCTTTAAATATTTGTGTGAGATATTAGATGATATACATGAAAAAGACTTGATACATTGTGATTTACACAGTGGTAATATATTAACAGATGGAGGTAATAGTTATATTACAGATTTAGGATTATGTGGACCAGTTGATGAAAAATCATCAAATAAAATTTATGGAATTATATCATACATTGCACCTGAGATATTTAAAGGAAAAAAGAACACCAAAGAATCAGATATATATAGTGTTGGGATGTTAATGTGGGAAATATTTGCATGTCATCCACCATTTGATAATAGAGCTCATAATTATTGCTTAATGGTAGATATATGTGCAGATTTACGACCACCAATATTACCAGGAATGCCTGATGATTATGCACAAATAATGCAAAAATGATGGGATGTAGATCCAACCAAGAGACCAACTATTAGAGAGCTTTGGGCGTTTTCTGTTTATAAGTTTGAGGAAATTTATAAAACTGCAAATTTTAATGAAAATAGTGGTGATAATAGTAGTGGTAGTAACAGTAATATTAATAGTAATGACAATAGTAATTCATTAGCATGCCGTACAAGTAGAATATTAAATGATGAAATTGCTAAAATGAATTCAAGTAATGATAGCCTATTAAATTATAAAATATAAAGGATAAGATAAATTAAATAGTTAATTAATTGAAATTTTATTGACAAACTCTACAAAGCGACCCATCATCTGACTTTAGATAAATTCATAAATAATAAAATTTATAACCGCTGGTAAAAGTGAAGTAATTCTCCACGACTTACTTTATATCCAATATTAATTCTCAGAAAAATCCTAATCATTCTTCACATTGCTATAAAAATATTTGATTACCACGATATGCCCTATTTAACTTGTGGCTAAAACAAAACAACTACAGTCAGCGCTCGATATAATGAACCTATATTAAAGAATTAGGAAATTAGAAAAAAATTCATCGTCCACGTATAAAAGCTCGGTTAAAAATACGGAATTGTTAATAAAAAATAAAACTCCAAAATATCCTGATCTTGAAAGCGCGTTGATGATATGGTTCGACCAAGCACTTTCAAATAGAATAAATATAGGTGATGTAATTGTTGTTAAAGTTAAAAATTCGCTGAATTACTAGATATCAATGGTTTTAAAGATTCAGATGGTTTAGTTTCAAAATTTAAGAAAGAAATCAACATACTTTACATGGTGAAGCAATCCCTGCAACCAATATCATAATTTCAACCACTTCGACCATCTAAAAAGTCCAAATTGTTTAATTTGACTACTACTACTACATCAATATTATTATTACTTTGACATTTTCATTGAATTATTCTATTTATGAGAAAGACAAAAAGTAGCACAACTTTTCATGTAAATACTTTGAATATTCATTTCACTGGTTAATAGGCAAATTTTCAATTATAATTAATTATTAGTTATATCGAAGAGTTTTCTACAAAAAAGGAGGATCTTAACCAAGTATTCGAAATTTAGTCGTTGGCTTGAATGGTCACAGAAGTGCCTATTGAGAATTTTATTTATATGCAAGCAAGAAAATAATTGTTGGTTATGGGAATCTAATAGATAGATTGCACGATGATCAAAGACGAATAAGCAAAAACTACTTGGAAATATTTAACAACCATATTTATAACATTATGCCTTATTTATTACCTGAAGTCATAGCAACCAGATTCAAATCGGAAGAATTAATAATAATATATTTTATATATATGAGATAATAACTTATTTTGTTCAATTGCGACGTGCGGATTTATTATTGTAATAATTTAAAAGTCAGAATTTAACTCAATCATGATAACTTACTAAATTCAAATTCATTATTTCAAATCAATAAATTGTCTAATTGAATATATAAAATATATAACAATAACAATATCTTTGAAATATATAATAAAATAATAGTTTATTCGCGCGCGTCTTAATTTACTGGTTGACTCGATGTTTCCATGTTTGTTTCTTTTGGTGTTTCCTCCGTTGTTTCTCTTTGGGAATTTCTTCTTTCGGTATTCATTTTTAATACGTAGGCTTTAACTATCGCTGCAAAATAAAGCTGAAAATAATAAAAAATAATAAAATTTTTTTAATAAACCGATTAATTAATTTGTTTATAAAATTTAATTACTTACCGAAAATACTGCCAGAACAATGACATTGATTATGCTACCAACAATCATGGTATTGATCAGGGTTCTACAATCCCCACTATAACCAGATTTAAAGCACGAACTGGTGAACTCATCTTTTTTTGCAGCAAGAACAATGAATGGAATCATTGCTACAAATGAATAAAATGCCGCGATTGTATAAGCCAATGCTTTGAAAACTTTTAGAAACTTTGTTTTACTCTAAAAGATTATTATTAAACGATCATTAGTGAGTGAAAACTAGTGATAGTAACAATTTAATAACAACATTTGATACTTTACCGTGCTCACTATCATTAATGAAATAAATGAAAGGATTGTCAGGATAAAATATATAACAGACATTATTATTGAAACTTCTACTACTGAATCTAAAGAACAAATTATTAATGTCAATAAAAAGGGCGATCTGAATTTCAAAATGTTTAAATCATAAAGTTTACTTACAAGGATACTTAAGAATGGCATCTGTTATATATTTATATGTCTCCCATATTCCATAAAGCTTATAAAGTATAATTATAAACATATAAATAAACATGTGATAAACTAATTAATTATTTTCTTTAAAAAAAAGCCAATCAACTTACAGTCCATAATAAAGTAATGATTATCATTGCATGTCTAAGTCTAAAACAACAGCGACATCGTTTTATATCCCTATTATCATCCATTTGATTATTTAATTATTGTTTTTGTCAGATTTTTAAGAGAAGAAAAAGTGCCAGGAGGAATTCGACTCAATTTATCAAAGTTGTATTTAAAAATTAACTAACTACTTTTTTATTGAATTATTCATTCACTTACCAATTTATTCATATTAATAAATAATACATAATGTTGGGAAAGATATCCTCATTAAGTTTAGCGCTGGTAAAATTTGCATGAATCCAATTCGAATAGGTGGATTTGGCAAGTCACACAAAAGTTAGGCGCACTACAAACTTGTAATAATGATAATGTGATAATATTGTTTACAATATTTTTTTCAAAGTTTAGTATGATGAAGATATGCATGGTGATGTTTCGGTAGGTGATAGAATTTTAGTAAATGATGATGTAAAAGTACTTGTTTCTTTTCGAGTTATTTGAATTTAGCTTTTGGGCCCTTTTTTTCGATACGAGTATTTTGATAGTCAGTAGAATGATAATTAACCCTAAAAAAATTATTTTCTCCGCTACCATCTCAAAAAACCAATGGGTTTTTGCTAGTATAAAGTATTCATACTGTTTTCAGAGGCAATTATGAATAGCAGCACTACTGATGATGATGATAATTTGAATTTCTTCTTTATATATATCCTACTAAATCATCAATTATAAAAAACTTTTGAAAATTAAATAAACTTGGATCACCT